CCGCAACATTCTTGCAAGTGGATAGAAAGCGTTTCACAAATATTCCAAGAATGCCCTCACACGTGCATCATAGTTTGTATACACATAGATACACAAGGGGTAAATACAATTACAAACACCCGCATGGGCCCCAGCAATCGTGTTAAGGGTACACACGTGACGTCTAAGGATGCTGCGCTGGTTAATAAATTTAAACACGATCATCTTAAGTAAGTAAATAGGAGTTGACAAGATCTAACATATAATTATAAAACACTCGCATGGGCCTCAACGAGAGTGTTATGGATACACACGTGACATCTAGGAATGTTGTGCGGGTCACTAAGTGAATTCAAGTTCGAACCCAATCCTCCTATGTGGATCAATAGGAGTTGACAAGGTTCGAACCATCAAACAAATATACGGTTGCGACGACCGGTATATTTGTCTTAATGCATTCATATTAGACCTTCAAGGCCTATAATAATATGAATTCACTAATAAAAGCACAAAGCCTACGAAACTCGATCCCCTATCGGTAGATACACAAGGGGTAAATACAATTACAAACACCCGCATGGGCCCCAGCAATCGTGTTAAGGGTACACACGTGACGTCTAAGGATGCTGCGCTGGTTAATAAATTTAAACACGATCATCTTAAGTAAGTAAATAGGAGTTGACAAGATCTAACATATAATTATAAAACACTCGCATGGGCCTCAACGAGAGTGTTATGGATACACACGTGACATCTAGGAATATTGTGCGGGTCACTAAGTGAATTCAAGTTCGAACTCGATCCTCCTATGCAGATCAATAAGAGTTGACAAGGTTCGAACCATCAAACAAATATACGGTTGCGGCAACCGGTATATTTGTCTTAATACATTCATATTAGGCCTTCAAGGCCTATAACAATATGAATTCACTAATAAAGGCACAAAGCCTACGAAACCCGATCCCCTATCGATAAGTTAATAGGGTCAACAATATTTAATATAAAAATAGAAATGACCCTACGACACCCCGATGATGCCCGTGTTGAATGTAGATCTCAACCGGAGGGGTCCATCACAAATACTTTCAAATGCCATCCCAAATGCTCACAAAAATCCAAAAATCCCAAAATCCAAAGATATTTAAAATTGAAATAATCTATCAAAGCACTAAAACAAAATACATCCACCCTCCGCAATATTTTGCCAGGGTGGACAAATTTGAAAATTACTTCAGCTTACAAAGAGCTAATGCCTAGTCAAAAATATCACTAGTATCCATTCTTAAGCAATTTTCTGCCAATAAGGACGTGGTACGTGTTCTCTGACCGGCAGTTTTGTCGCCAAATGACACCGCAGGATAAACGGTTATGACCCAGGACCCTCTGAATCGAGTGATTTTGCCGCCAAATGGCACCACAAAATATCGATTATGGCCAGAGCCAATACGTTCCTTAGTGGCATCAAATCCTTCATATATGAATTAATATAATATAATCGATATGGCACAAGGCCATCTGTTAGCTGAGGTGGATTCAAATTTGTCCCCTTAGACAAATACCCACCCCAAGTCTACAAGATCCCATTGGACGAAGCAACCCATGGCTGCCGACAAGGATCCTTCTGTCAAAATGGGTTGACTACCTCCTCTGACTAAGTAGACCAGGGACCATGATGGCCCGAGATGACGGAACCATGGGATCTTGATCGAATCCATCATCCATTCCCCCACCATCCGCTTTAAGTGCAAGATGTTGAAATTTTCAATTTTAAATATCAAATTCTCAACCATTTCCAAACATTCAAGCCCAATGCTGTTACTATATGCCAGATAACACATATTCATACGCATCAGATCGACGACTAGCCTTAATCGAAAGTTCTCTTTCGTTATCGGGAGGGGTAATTAACTATAGGGGCTTGCGTCTATAGGAAATCAGAACTCAGATCATAAAGTCCTCACAAAATGAGGGCAAAATCTCTGGGTAGTGTCTTATCTATAAACCCATATGCCTTCCCAAAATTTACCCCCGGAACTTAATTTCATTAAAACTCCCCCAAAGAAAAAGGAGTAGCGGGTGGAGGCCGGGGACGAATTTTCGGAGCTTACACAAAACAATCAAGTATTTACCTAAAAAAAATTAGTATGAATAATTAAAGGATACACGTTAGGATGACTTAAATTTAACTGAGACTTGGCTGTTTAGGCATAATGTTCAGCACTGAAGAAACCAGAGATGAAAGAGCTTTGGGGATACTAGGGGTGTCAAAATGGGTATTCGAGTCGGGTTCAAATCGAACCCAAAATTTACCTGAGTCCAATTCAACTGACATGAACTCGACCTGATTTTGCAAACGGGTAAAAAATAAAGATCTGACCCACCGGGTTGACACCACCCGCTAACCCACCAGATGAAGGGCACGAGCACGTGCGGGGCCTAAGGGCGAAGGGGGTTTGAGTAGGCACGGGTGATGCGAGTGTGGGAGGGCGTGCTACAGAGTGCGAGCACGGGAGTCGGGAAGGTGGGAGTTGTGCGGGCAGGCACGAGTACGAGATCGCATATCGATGCAAGCTAGGTGACTTGGATCATTTTTGGGTTGATTGCAGGTTTTCGAGTCAACCTGATTTTAAAAACGAGTCAGAAAATGAAACTCGAACCCTACTTGTTTGGCAAACGAGTTGACATGAATCTTGAATTTTTCGGGTCGGGTCAAGTATTGACACCCCTAGGGCTTACTATCATCCAAAAAACCATGAGCTTCAAGTTACGTCATTAACTCCAAAGACGAATCTAGAGCAATATCCAAAGCATGAGAACCCCATGGGGGACTAAGGTAGAGAGAGCATCACCCAACAGGATGAAATGATTCATTTGGTTATGAGTATTTACAACACAAATCTTTTGCTTCTGTATTGTGATAAAAACAACCATTAGGAGCCCTAGAGGACAATTTTATTAATTCTGGATGAGCCTTGAAGCAATAAACAAATCATGTTCAAAAGTTTGCGAAGTATACAATATGAGGGCCAATCTTTAGAGTTCACTTTTTGTCAATATTAACAATGTGAGGAATTGCTTATCGATTCTCGAGCCAAAAAGGAGAAATATCTATCTTAACAAGAACACAAGTTATTGATGGCAAGTGAGCCTAACGGTAGCAGCATCCACTTTTATTGCTTTGTCAAAAAGCGTACCCTATGAGTACAGTGTGTATATCATAGCATTTGGAGACTACTCACATATTGTGAATGTCGTGAGAAAAAATATAGAATAAATTTCTTCCATTAAGAGTTGGTTAACTACTTGACATTGATCAAATAGATCAACAGGGTAGTCACTTTGTTGATGAAGATCATACATCAATGTGCGAATAATCTCCAAGCTTTGATGGTCAAAGGCCAATTTCAAACCAAAGATAAAGCAAATGAAGCTACAAGATTAAAAATCTCTGCCTATGAAAAAAATGAGAACTGAGTTTTCCATGTAACATATTGATTGGCTTGTGCCTAACATAATTTGAATAATGTTGAAAGAATAAAGTGAAACTATTAGGCATGACTACTTGCGAAGAACCCTTCTCCTTAGCAACATAAACAAAAGATGTATGAAGTTGAGCACAAGCCTTTGGAGAAAATTGGAATAGAGTAGATGGACCATCAATTATTGCGGGCACATCAGATGATGACTAATGGAGAGGAGTGGATAAAGATGAAGCTTGAGGTGGGTCCTCGATGCCAATGATGCCCTAAAGCACCCACAAAGGGGGCGAGGAAACCTCGAGAAGTAAGATGATAGATGGGCTCCACAAAGGAAGGTGGTGATGTGACACGATCAAAATCACTAACAACTTGAGTAGGAGTGACAAGTGAGGCGGGCAAAGAAGAGAAGAGCAGAGTGTTGGGGACCATCACTTAGGGTTGAATGCATGGCAAAGGTGGGAGAATGAACGAGTGTGATGGGGGGCCAGTGGCTTGGCAGAAAAAATGTGCTAGTTCACCCACATAGAGACCAAGGCACTAGATGCTACAAACACTGGCTGGATGCAACCCTTAGATGTGCTTAACATATCAAAGGATGAGGGTGAAGGGTGCAATGGGACTGGAAAGCTGTTTGATGTGATTTACAATCATGTCGATTAAGACAGTTGACCTAGGAATGGAGCACCTTTGTGGCTCACAGGAGCAGCGGGCCATCAGCTGTGCTGCATGGTCACATTGAGCGAGATGAACAAATATGACACTTTTGAGGATCGTGGGAGCGGCAAGCTACTGGTTGGAGCACGCAGTCTCGTTGAGCTATTGTCGAAATTTTTTTTTTCTTCTAACTTTTCCTCCTTGAATCAGAAATGGAAGCAGGGTGGAGATACTCTAGATTCGTTATCTTATTTTTAATTTGATTTTTGAGATAGAAAATTTTGCAGTTCTGTATAAGTTCTGATTTCTGGGATTATTTAGTTTAGGATGGCTAAATTTAGGTTCTTGAGTCCGTTTCTTTACATAAACATTTTTCAGAAGATGGAACTTTTGTTGCTGAAATGCAAAAGCTGACCCTAAACTTATATAATATGAAACACTAAATTTTCTGATTTTGAAGTGATATTCAATCCTCATGCTCAATTCACGGCCCGCCCATCCAGCGCAAGCATTGCCTTTGATGGGAGGGAGAATGACCGGGTAAATGAAGAGAGACCATTAACAGCTCACACAAGTGAACAAGAGCCATTGTTATGGTAATTGTTTGAAATATACAACAGTAACTATATAATCTGGAAATAAAGGATTAAAGTGACGAAATACTAATTGGAAGGTTTAATAAGGGGACTAATTCGGTTGGTTTAAAAAAATGTATTGGCTTAAAAGCAGCTGAATCTTAGTATAGGGAGCTATTTCACATTACTAAAGGAGAGGACCAACTTAACGTTTTCTTTTAAATATCGAGTGCATGAAATTGACTAAAGAATCTTCTCCTCTTACTGAAATATATATTAAACCAGTTTGAACTTGTGCAAAAATTCCTTGCAGGTAGTTAACTATGTTATTGAGAAAATGGTTCTTGATAAACCACTTGAAGGTGGCAATCCAGATGGACAATTTGGTCTGGTTCCAGGCCCTGGACAATCCCAGCTTGGATCCCTTGGTGACAGTTCCTTACGTGCGCTCAAGTCATGGCAGAAGAGAAAACCTTCTATTGAGATCCTGTGTAATAACCAGGCAAGTGCATTCCAGTAATTCTATTTTCCAATATATTTTCTTCACTTATTTAGCTATGCTATATGGAGAAGCCATTAGTGGGACATTAGCTAATTCAATCTCTAATCTTAATTTTTTCTTATAAATTCTTTGCAAAATTCTTATGTATGCAGGTCTTATCACCAGATATGAGTCTCGCAACTGTGAGAGCCTACATATGGAAGAAGTCAGAAGATTTGGTGCTTAACTACCGCGTAGTACAGAATAGATGATTAATCTAAGGTTTTTGTCTGTAAAGGTAGGCATCTCACTTTATACTATTGACTGGTATTTATTCATCAACCTCAAATCACTACATTTTTAGGCTTCTTTTGGGATAGTTTTTTACTCGTTTATTTTTCAGACCGCAATCATAATTTTTGTCTGGTCATTTATCTTTTTGCTACTGGAAAACTGCTTTCACAACGGTTTTACAAATCACTAAGAAAATCATCCCAAAAGGTTTCGTTTGGGATGGCTTTCTTATTTGTTAAAGCAGCTTTCTAGTAAATTTTTGTACTAGAAATCTGCTTTAGAAAGTAGTAAAAAAACTATCTCAAACGAAATTGTAATCTATTTTATATGATCCCCAAAATATTTATAGACATTTGAATATGTGTAACTGTGTTATTTTCTCTCCAGGGACTTCCAGCTTGTAAGGTGGGGAGCTTGTTTCAGCTTTGTTGTATAATACCTAATGATTTTTGTGTTCACCTGCTGGTTGCCACTGAACTACTCTTGTCGATCGAAGTGATCTTTTTCACGGCACAAATAAACAATTTTTCATTACATTTCAAGTGCTCTGTTTATGCTGTTAAGTATTATTTTATCTGTTAACATTTCATTAAATATCGTGCTACTATGAAAAAAATCATCATAATTTTAAGATTGAATAAATAAAATTAATATTATAATTCATTTTATAAAAAATAATAGTCATATAACAGGTCTCATGTCTATAGAAGTGTTTTAGTTTTCAAAAAATTTTAATTACGCAGCTCATTTCTATCTATTAGTTGGGAGTTTTTGCTATAAGTAAAGAGAGATTTAGTTCGAGTCTTGCGTATGTGATGTGCTTATGAATTTGTCTTATTTGGTCTAAATGTTGCCCCAAAGAAATTAATATTATTATTAGAATAATATTAAATTTATATATAGGATTTTATAATTAATTCTATTAGTACTAAAATGTGCTTGATTAGCATAATTAGTTCAGAGATAGCCCTTAGTTCTTCTTGTAAGTTCTTCTTAAAATAAATAATCTATATTCACCTTGGCATTGTTTAGAGGTGTTCATTATTTGGAAAAAAAAAAGAAAAATTGAATGTCTTATTTGACTTAGTTATTGTTTGTAATTTTGATATTTTTGTTATTAAATTAAATTGAAATATATTATTATTTTTTAATATTAAATCAATGAAGTAGGTGAACTATAAGTAAATGAATGATAAAAAAAAGAGTTATTTATTTCCTATGCCAAAATTATAAATGTTAGTAAAGATTATTTGATATCTTCTTAACAAATGTTTTTTAAACTAAAAACAATTAGATTTATTATTAAAGCTAATTATATTTCGGTTCATTTAGAATTAAATTAAATTGATCAAAAAAAAGTTTAATTCAGTTTAATTTGATTTGAAAGTACTTGGGTCAGTTCATTATTTAAAATTAGAAATTTTATTTTATATGCGCGATAATAATAGATATGGTAGAAATATGCATGTTATTTATTTTTATTAGGAAATAGGCTTGAAAATTTCTTTTGGATCAAACAAATAGAATCGAAACTATCGTTGAAATGTTGTGTTACCTTTCGATCATAGGGAGCAATTATTACATCCGGTCACCGGCATCTATTTGGCACTCGGTACTATTTGGTATACATTCGGATGGTTCAGTTTTTGATCGGATGTAATAATTTCTCCTATCATAGGAGCTCATTGACCCTCCTTGTTAGCAGCTTCTTCATTTCAGACTATTGCGGTTTGCCTATATTCTTTCGTCATTTGTAAAGGTTAGTGATATTAGTATGTTATGAATGTTGAGTTGTAAGATGTATTATAATCTATGTTTTAACCACGTTCAAATCATGATTGAATGATTTGCAAGCTATGATTGAACAATCTTTGAACTTTTTTCGAAGAATTTTTGAAAGATGTTTATATCATGATTGAAAAAACTTCAATCATGATTCAAGCCAATCTTCAATTCTAAATCGGTCCATATTGAAACATATTTGAATCTTCGTTGAATTTTATTTGATCAATTTTCTATCCACATTCGAATCTCGTTAGAACATGATTGGTTCGAACAAGGTTCAAATAATATTCAAATAAGTGTCAAATATAGAACTAAATCATGTTGCAATATGGTTCAAATCTTATTCTAACTTTGTTCGAATCTTGTTTAAATTAATGTTGGTCATTGCAGATTTTAAATAAGCCGTTCACAATTAAAATTTTTGTATTTTGAGCAAAAATGAAATTTCAACATGTTTTTTCATAATTATTTTTTCAAAATTATGAATTTAATTACTTTTGCCTTGTTCGTGTTAGGAAGATTGAGGCTATACAAGTAAAGCACAATATTACAATAAAGTCACTTACAATAATTCTAATGATCAGTTCTATAATTAATTTTATATTTTTCACTGCATATCCTAAAACTTTATAGAAATATAATATGAAGATTTATAAATGATTTTAATTTTTTTTTGCAGATCATGAAGAAAGTAAAACCTAAATATCTTATTTCAAAATTTGAGAAATCTGAAAAGAAATGAAAATTTAGAGTGAATATCAAAAACTAAAATCAGATTGTAAGATCACTGTTAGTGCTAATATAGTTGAAATTAAAATGACTTGAACAAATGAAGATCAAATAGTATGCAAGATAAGAAAATGAAAAAAAAAATCTATGAAGATTGAAATTTTTGTTCACATTTTTTAAAATGACATAAAAGAAGAAACACAAAATCTGAAAGCAAAAACTTACAGCAATGAAAACCTTGAAGATATTACTGTGAAGTCTTCTTTTCCCTTTTGAAAACAATGAGAGCTTGCTTTTAATCGTGGAGAAGCCATGATTTTTTTTGTTTGTTTTGTTTTTGGATGCAATGAATAGCAGCTTTATTTCTCTTCTTTTTCTATAGTAAGTGTCTTTAATTCTAAAAATTATTTTGTACGGATTTCAAAATTGACCACGTCGCTTGTACACATTGTGTATTATACCCACCCTGTGTACAAGATTGTTCACATACTGTGCACAAACGATGTGGCTTATTTTGATTGGAGACTGAACGCAAATTACGCCCGGACTCCGCGCAGAATAATTTCTCCTTTAATTCATAAAGATTTTACAAAGATATAGTTTAGTTTATTTGGAAAGTAATATATAAAAAAATATGTGCTGAAATAAGTTTCATCATTACCTTAATTCCCTGCTGAGGGATCCGTTTGTTGCAGAGAAAGCAATTAAAGTAATGCATAAATGGTTTACAAAAGTGTTTTGATCAATTTAGGAAAGTTTTGGGCTAAATACAAACGTTCAAAGAAGCTATCCAATGCTGTAAAAGTGATGAAAAAATAAGATGAATAGTGATCGGTTAGTACTGTAGCACTTAAGGAAAGTTGCTGAAATTAGTTTTTTTTTTCTTATAAATCTATGTATTGCACAGTAAAAAAAAAAGGTAGGAAATAGGTTTTTAGAGCAATTGGCTTTCAAAACTTATTAAATTAATTTTTGATTCTAAATTGTGTTTATGTGCTGTTTAACTTATTTAAAACTTGTTTTTGATATTTTTAGCTTTAGTAATGATTATGCTCAATCAAGTACAATAAAAAATTAAAGAAATCTTGGAACACATTAAAGTTTCGTTTGGGACAACTTTCTTAATTCTTTGTAAAGCTTCTTTTTAGTTAAATAATTTCTTAAAAGCAATAAAAAGCAATGATCTTAAGCTATCCCAAACGAAGCCTAAGATACATAATCTTAGATACTTAATGCATCTAAAACTAGCTTACAGTACTTTCCAAAACTCGTAAAATTTTAAAATGAGTGTATAGGTAAAATCATAAATTTAGTCTTAGGTAGGATAATTTCTCCTTCCCTAGTTAGCCTTCTTAGTTGTTCCTCATTAATATGGTATTTAATCAAGTTGATCATTACCTTGTTTAGGTTATTCACATTTCTATTTCATATTCTTTAGTTATTTTTTTGGTGTTCAAAATATCATATCACAATAACAACCTCTACACTCACTTTGAGTCGATTTTGGGATCAACATTATGATGAAATTTAAATTTACCTTCAAAAGTAGTTAAATATATAACCTTCACACACTAAGATTTTCACAATAAGATTCATGCATTAGAAAATATGAATACTCATCAACCTAGGAAGCAAATATCAAAGTTAATTTAGGCAACCAAAGTACGATGATGAAGGCGAATGATCCCACTTCTAAATATTAATCCACCCCCACTAAGGTCATAAGGAAATCAAGCTTTCTCATGAATAACCCTCTAGACAACTCTAAGATGGAAGCAATTCATTTCAACCTCTTTGTAGTGCAAATATGTCTTTTAATAGACTTGGTGATTACATCAACCACTTAAATGAGGATGATACCCTTGTAAAGGTTAAGATTGATGCCTTCATTTTTTTAGGATCATCTATAACTAGAAGTGTTCTCCAAGTGGCTTATGGACACGAATAAATATTTTGATTGGATGACTAATATATGAAATCATTAACAAGTTTGGAAAAAATGTCTAGTCATAAAAATACCTATTAATACCTAATATGTCAACTTGGTGTGATAACTTTAACGATTTGACCAACCACCAGTTGAGTCTTCAAATGAGATGAATGATCTTTTAAACCCTAATTAACCTTTTGTAGCATTCCATGATCAACATCTCGATGAGTTGATTTTGCATAAGTAGGGGTTGATTATAATCATTGATTATGTGACTTGCTTTAATGAGCAATGATCTTGTGTGATGTTATCAAATCCCTCATTCTTCTACTAAAAAATTTCAAGCCAGTCTGCATCCTAATATCTTTTTGTATATGTTAACTCGAGAGTTTATATTCTTATGAGGCATTCCATCAACCTCCTCAATTGGAGCATTTCTTAGGCCCCTTTGTCGACATTAATGCAAAACTACAATTTGTGATTCCTCTTCTTATGATCTTAAGATATCTAATGACCCCAATGGAAAATCTGTGGTTGAAGCCTCTAGTTCCAAGTATTTATGATATTGCTTATTTCACTTGTGGCAAGACTAGCTGCTATATATGTAACTTCCCTCATAAGTCAAACATCTCATCATAGACTTTATCGAATCCAATCTACTAGATGATTGTGCAGATGATTCTATAGAGTGTGGTAGTTATAATGAGGCTGGTGAAGCTAAAGAAACATTAAGTGATTTATATACCTTATCATGGTGCAATGTATTTTGTCTTTCACACAAGTCACTATAGAGTTACACGCTAGAAATGCAATATCATCTTTCGTACCTACTTTAAGAGTGGTGACCACATTTAAAGTGATCATTAACAATGGTAGTTGTATGAATATAGTTTAGACTTCTAATTTGATTAGGATAAATTTCTCCTTTGAATCACATCCAAAACAAAGATCCCCGAAAAGACTAACATTTCAATTAGGTTGTGGCACATTGTAAAATATCATGCCTGCTTTTATCATATTTAATTAGATGCCCTTCCCAAGAATGTTGCGTATGTACTCTTAGGGAAACTTTGATATATCATTTAAATGTAACTTACTTTGGATAATCTAATACTTTGCCTTCATATTTAAAGGTATAAAGTTTGTTTTAAAATTGACTAAACCAAAAGATGTTTCACTTATGAAACTAGTGGAGTCATTTTCTCTTATTGAAAAATGATTCCTATATATTTATTAGTTAGGGACAATTTGAGCGTAATATTAGCCATAATATCATCTATACTTTTGTAGTCTTATAACATGCTAGATTCAACTTAGATAAATGTCACACACATATATATTCTATCCTGAGATTAGCTTATTCTTATTTGAGTTGTAAGATTTTGTTATGAGGAACTCAGAGATGAGATCCCTCCTTTTAGGAGCATCCAATATAATATGCTATCTTGAAGTCATTGGATTTACTTTAAATAAGGGTGATATCTGAATAATCAATAAAAATTTATATTGCACTAATCTCAAAGTAAATTTAATGACTAAAATTCAACTTGGTCAAACTTTAATCAAACTATCCTATCCAAGATTTTTTTTTTTTTTTTTTTTGTACTAAGCATTTGTCTTAATATATTTTGCAATATATATAATATTTAAAGTAAATTCTTTATGCACATATAACTCCATATGAATTTTACATGAATTTTAAATTCTCAATATCTCTGAACCCCTACATTATTACATTAGTCTAAGCTCTCAATAATTCCTTTACACATTATTATTATTATTTTTAATAAAAATTTAGGCTGAATTCATAATTATTATAAAATTTTACTCCCTAAATAAATCTATGCAAAAATTTACATCGAACACTTATCTCATAAGCAAAGGTGTACATAACTTTCACAATAGAACTAATACCTTTTATTCTCAATATTTCATCAAATTTTTAAGGATTGATTGTAACATACGTAATTTCATAAGTTTTTTAGTTCAAATTTTCTACATTTATTCGACTGTGATGACAATCTTATCAATATAAATATGAACGCCGCTTATAATTTATTCGATAAAATCAAATTCAATGAAACTATCATAACCCTCTCACCCTTCTTTCTAATGCATAACATATTAATCAATAACATTTCATTCAAACCACTTCTACAAAAGCAAGCCTACAATAATTATAACTATAGATTCTATCAATCATCCTTTGCTTTCTATACTCCATATATTTCATCAAATCAACAAAAAAGGTAAATAATCACTCCCCCTTTTCTCTCGGTAGCATCATCGCTCAAACACGACTCATCAGAATTCTCAAATTTGTATCTAACCAGTGCGCTATGAGTTCGAGCACAACCACTTCCCCTTCTTATCTACAAAGAGACCACATCCATTAATCTTTTCTCCAAAAAAAAAAAAATCTAAGTAATTTTATAACCTCTTGTGTAAGGCAATTATTGTAAGCAAGACCAAGATCACATAGGCCACTGTTGCAAACATGGAGAGAGAAATGGCAACGGCTACCTGCGCGCAATATTGACGTACAGAAACACAAATTTTATCCCACCCAAAATGTCGATTTCCGTTTTCAGCCACAACACTTATTGCTGAAGCTGCACCGTTGCAGGAAACCAGAAATATCATTGTAAGCAAGTCGGTGATCGTCAATGGCAAATATATGCCGGCCATGGCTGCCTTCTTCGAAGCATGATAGAGTATTATGGTTGCTAAAGAGTAAACCAGTGTGAGCACATTGATCACTATGAAATATCTGTAGGTTCAATAAAATAAAATAATGTTAGAAGAAGATACAAGCTAAATGAATGAGAGAGAGAGAAACTACTATGCATTTAGACCATCTCCAACGAAAAATCTCAGTTTTCACTCCAAAATGCCGTTAAACTAAAAAAATGCTGCAATTCATCTCAAATCGAACTCCATTTTGCCCCCTTTTGCGAAGGCAACGGTCTTTCTCTTCTTTTATGCGTTTCTTCGACATGTTCGGTAGAGACTGAAAAATAGCGGAGATGAATAGTGCAACACCAATATTAGCATACCACTGTTCACCCGCAATCAAATAGCGTAAGTTTTATCGTTCGGTTGGAGCTCACGAGCGACGCCATTCAAGCGTTTGGAGTTCGGTAGGAGATGCGCTTAGAATGATAGAGAGCGAAACTACTTTTCGAGTTGTTATTGTGTAAATCTTCTTGAATTACAATATTTTATGCAAATTTGGATAAAATGTAAAACAGGTCAAGACCTACCACTATAGGGAAATCATACCGATATATTATGTTGGTAAGCCCCCCCCCGGAGGAACTATTCCACCGGAAAAAGATTTCCAAATGCGTTTCACCGTCGAGTGAAATTCCACTGGAAAAGTAAAATTTTTGGCGAAATTTTGCAATTTTCATCGTATTTGGGCCGCAGGTAACGCACGATTTTTCTGTAGTGTACATTTTGATTATAGTTCTTAGTATGCAGGGGATCTAAAATTTGTTTAGTTCAACCAACCTTTTGAGAAGTAATCTGTCTTTAAGAGCCGAACTTTCAACCGGTGGTTAGTGATGACTTGGATTGCTATGTGCTTAAAAATAGGGATGAAGTCACTGGATAATGCGGACTAGAACAGAAGAATGGTTTTTTTAATTAATGAATAACTTAGGCTTCGTTTGGGATGATTTTCTTACTGCTTCTTAAAGCAACTTTTTAGTCCAGAAATTTTAATTGTCTTTTATCAGAATAGAGCTAACCACCTCCGTTTCAACTCTAAGATGAGCAATTCACCAGTAGGTTTGTGGCCTTTAGATATGGGTTTAACTAATTTAAGTTGATGAGTCTGCAAGCTTGGGCTTGACTCGATAATATCATGTGAGTTGAGGTCGATGAACTAATGAGTCATACTAAAGCCAAGCCCCACTTGTCTTATTAGCATATGAGTTGATTTATTTAGAAAATTTTAATATAATATACACTCAAAATATATTAAAATTTAAGGGAAATATTAAAAAGATTTCTTTCTCCTTTTCTTAAAAATATTTCACTCTTAATTTTTTCATTCCTTAATCATTTATTATAATACTCTCTTAAATTGGAACAAATTTTTTTCTTTTTTTTTTTAAATAAATCAGTTGACTTATATGTTGACTAAAACTCTCAGAATTAAGCTCGAGCTTAAACTTAAAAAAGTAATTAGTTATAGACAAACCCAAACTCAATTTCGGAGTGGCCGGCCAACGGAGATTGGGAGGATTGTAATCAAGTGATGGTGATCAAACTAACTATAATTAAGCGACAGTAATCGGAGGGCCAGAGTCATACAACGGTGGTCTAAGGACGCCTACAGTTGGGCGATGGTAGTCCGGGGACTGTAGTTGAGCGATGGTGGTATGAGGATTGTAATCAAGCAACGGTGGTCCGCGGATCATAGTTCACAAGTGATCAAGATTGGAAGAACCGTAGTTGGGAGGCGATAGAGGTCAAAATGACCATAGTCGGGCGATGGTATTATGAGGGCCATAGTCGGGCGACTGCACTCGGAGTGCCATTGTCGCGCAACAGTGGTCGGAGGACCATAGTCGGATGACGGTGGTCAGAGGACCTTATTTGGACGACAGTGGTCGAATGACCATAGTCGGCGGGCGATGGAAGTTAGAAGGAGGACCATAATCAACGGGCTATGGAGGCTAAAAGGACTGTAGTCTGATGACAGTGGTCAGAATATCATACTTCAGAGAGGATAGTCAAGACCATAGTTAATAGGCGATAGAGGTTAGAAGGACTATGGTCTGACATTAGTGATCAGAGGATCATAGCCAAGCAAAGGTGATTTGGGAACTATTGTCAGTCGATGGTAGTGAGAGGACTGAATTCGACTAGTGACAAAGGTTGTAGGATCATAATTAGTTGGCAATGGAGGTTGGAAGGATCGTATTTGAATGAAAATGGTTAGAGTATCGTAGTAAGATGACGGTGATCTAAGGACCATAATTAGGGGGCGATAGAAGTTAGCAGGGCCATGATCAGGCAACGTTGGTCTGAGGATCGTGGTGGTTTGTCGATGAGGGCCCGACAAGCAATGTTCAAGTGGTGATGCTCTAGGATCCTTAGAGCCTCAGAGCTCTCTTAGAGAGAGAGAGAGAGAGAGAGAGAGAGAGAGAGAGAGAGAGAGAGTAGGCTTTAGCTCTAAGCTCCTCTTTCTGTAGAGAGTAGGGGACTGCATAAAATTTTGAGAGTAGCATGCCTATAAATATGGAGAAAATCAATAACACTGTATCGGATGGCCCATATTGATTCCCATGATCATAAAGTGTTCGTTTAGCATTGAAGTGCCTTAATGATGTCAGATTTAGGTGAACTTGGGATTGTTGGATTCTACTCGTTGAGCCCCTCGATTCACCTATAAGCATGTCAAATTTGGAGATCATTCGGTCATCCAATTAATATATTGAATTTTCTCACTATGCTTAAGGACATTGATTTGGGCTCATTTAGACTCGGATTGAATTATTTTGATGTTGTTGGGTTTGACTTGTAGAGACGTTCAATTTGACTATAAATTTGCTGAAATTAGAGTTCAAATGGTCCTAAATTTAATTTTGGAAATTTTCAATTCAAATGTGCCTCAAAATTCATGCTAAATCAAAGAGATTTTCTTAATGTATCAATTATAGCTTATGATCCCTCTATTCTTCTTATTATTGTATGAATGTTATAATTGTTTAGATATTAAGGTTTTGTTTAAGATAACTTTTGATCATTATTTGTTGTTGCTTTAAAAATATATTTTTTACTCAAAAAAATTTGAAACTTTTTTTTGTACTAAAAAAATACTTTAAAAATAGTAAAATATTTGTCTCAAATGAAGCCTAATAAATTACAATAGAAAATAGTAAGAAATTTGTTTAGAATGAAACCTAAATTAATAAATTTTGACATAAAAATAAAAAGTTTCAACCTATTCATTGAAACAATGAGGCTTCATTTGGGACGGCTTTCATATTGCTTTCTAAATCAATATTTTCGTTTGAAAATTTTTTAAACTAAAAAATTATTATAAAACAGTTAAAAATTCGTCCCAAATAAAACCTTAGTGCCAGAAGGTTTCAGTAAGTATTATCACACGTGTCAGTGGTCCGGCAAGTAGCGTTTAGCTTATGGCATCACAGCTAATATATCCGCGTGAAGAGTAAGCCACTACAAGTTCTAAGATCACCACTTTTAATATACTACACGCTACTTAATAAATCCAACATTAGTTGGGAAATTTCTACATTTCTATTTTATTAAACAAATTGCTAACTATTATTAAGGACTAATTATTTAAAATTACCTTAATTTGTTAAATCTTATTATAACTTATGCAAGTCAATGATAAAAGCAAAGGTGACCCTCATTTTTTTTTTTTTAATTGAAGGATATATTTTATTTATTGGTTGTCATATAAGAGAAATTTGATTTTACAAGCTTCATAGCATATAAAATAAATCATATATCTATGTTATATATTTATTATGATAAATAATAGCTAAAATTTTATTTGAATTGAACCTTATTTGATTCTAGTTATAACTTAGTTTGAACCAATGTTAAAACTTTGTTTTGAATCATTGTTCGAACAATTCACTAGCGCGAGGCTTGTCGTATATCTCTTGTTGGAGGAAGACATCTACGTGACTACTGACAGACAAAAGAGAATAGTTCATGATGGGAACTCATTGGGGGCAGTCATGGTTGGACCAGCTGCTTGAGACCAAGGAGAGGAGTTCGTGACATAAGCTCTTTAGGAGCAACTGTTTATAAGACCGTGGACATGTTAATGAGATTAAGTATTCATAAGAAGAGCTTGATAAGAGAGAACCATCCGGATTTGCAACGCTTTTACAAAAGGGCATCAAATATTCAATTACGAATGCATTTTTACTATCATTTTGCAAAAGCACAGCAAAATTGCAATAACTATTCAATTATTTAATAAATATTAAATATTTGTTGCCTTTTTATTATTTTTTTATAAAAGCGCAATAAAATGGCTATAAAAGCGAAGCAAATACGGACGATTCTCTCCGTCCTGTGTCCGCATAGAATAATTAGTCTGATAAGGCAAGGCATCAATAGGATTGATAGTGTCTAAAGGAAAAGAGGAATTATTAATTGAAGCTTGTTGGGGGTAGATATTGCATAACTAATAGCATTTGAAGGAGAAGGGTCTATGATTTTTTTTTTGGGAAAATTATGAGCATAGCTCTTTCCATTATAAAATGAGAGAATTACAGGTAAAAAACATATAGGAAAAAAAACCTATATCCAAATTCTGGACAGAAAAAGGAAAAAACAAAACTCCCTAATTCTATACAGCAAATAAGAATTGAACACATATAGAAAAAAAGACGACAAACAAAAACTGAAACAATTGAGTTCCAATAGAAACCCAAGGGCTCAGGAATTGCCGCTCTCTTCTACTTGGTTGCAAAATTAACTACCCAGGAAATCTGCCATCCGAAGGAGAAAATGGCAATTCTGTCATCCTCGCCCAGCATATACTGCAGCAAAAATAACAGAGAAATTCCCAAAAGATCCACTGCATAGCAGAACAGCATAGAAAACTTCCAGCACTAACGTACTCAGAACAACCCCAAAAATTAGAGCAGCTCCATATAATATTCTCTCCTTTTCCATTTGAGGATCTTTGCCAGAACAGCACCTTTGATTTTATGGACTAAAGTTGTAGATGATGCCACATTAGTACCAAAAATCCTGTCATTTCTTTCTCTCCAAATATGATATACCGCACAGCAAATTATCAAGCAGTAAAACGCCTTATCCTTTTTATGTTTTTGATCAATATACTCAAAAATCTGTAGAATGGATGGTCTAAAGAAAATATCACCCAAGTTATTTAGTATATCCTTTAGCACTGTAAAAGAATAGTCACACTCAAAAAATAAGTGGCTAACCGTTTCCATCCCTGTATGACAAAGAGAGCATTTTAAATTTACAGCTATGCCTCTAGAGAATAAAGTATCCGCAGTTTTTAAACCACCAGAGAGGGCCATCCAGCAAAAACTGGAGAATCTTAAGATATGATGCTTATGCCACACAAAATGCCACCAGTTTACCAAAGATAAATTTTTATAAAAAAATTCTCTGTATTCACTATGCTTAGCAACCTTCCCAGAATTCCAAAAAATAGTTTTATGTTCCTCAAACTGCACAGGAAAATCAGCAAAAGCTTGGTGTATCTCCTCAGGTGAATTATCAGGCAAAACCCAGCCATACTCATTAAGTATTACCTGAATACTTTCATTTATCGGAAAAAAAGAAATAAAGGGCCTGAATACTTCAATTTCTGTTAAGCACTTATCCTGATACCAATGATCCCAATAAAGGGCACATTTAGAGTGCACAGAGATATTGAAATGGAATTTTTCTCTAGCATAATCGGCATCCTTACATAAAAATTTCCAGAATTTAGAGGCTTTGGTACCAGGTCTATGATTCAAAACATGGTTCTAACTATACTATAATCAGAATTATAAATTATAAATTAATTTTAGCTTAATTCTATTCTAAATATATCTAAATTATACAACAATTTTAAATATGAATATACTAAATTATATTTTCAAAAAAAAAAAAGACTATTCCATAATTTTTAATATACATAAAAAACAGATATTATTCAATATTTATATATCCGTATGTTATAAGGAAATAATCCACATAATTAAATTCAACATATTCGACATATATTATTATTATTATTAAAATAAAGGCGGTTAAAGACTTCAAAATAAAAACAAAGCGGTCGGAACTTACACAAGAGCAGAAGAATAGTGGGACTTGGCCGTTCCGGCGAGAGTCACCGGCGATCCGCTATCGTCGATAACCACCACCCTCTTGGTCTGCGCTGCCGTGCCCATCACAATCGCAGCCACGAACGTCAAAACCGCCGCCACGCCACGGAGAACGTTTCCGGTGATCTCCATCGCCCTCGATGGCGGCAGGCCGTCGACGCCATCGATATGCAAGCGCCTAGTCGGCGGCGGGGCAACAACTGGAGGATCTACGGAACTGAATTCCGATCCGGCTTTCAGCTGATAGTCCATCGAGGAAGGAGAGAGGATTTGGAATTACGGAATTTGTTTGTGGCATCGAAGGGCTTTAAGCCTTTAAGAGATTGATTTCTTAACGAGGGGGGAATTGGGGAGTGTTGAGCGATGGTGTAGGTGTGGCGTCACCGGCGGTGACATTACCTGGGCCAGGTAAGGCTTACAGGCTTAGATTTGACTGTGACTTAATTAAACAGTACAGATAGTCAAGTCAAAGAAGGTAGCGCTAATTTTATGAAAGTCATTAATGATGTATTGGCTGGATATTATGTGAAGGTGGAGATTATGGCAAATTATTGTATTCAGTGTCCGGATTCGAACACCAATACAAACGTGCCATGTCATTCAAAAATGCCGGGGCCCAGTGCATCCGGGTGAGGTGGCGTGTCAGGATTGGATGCCCGCATGTAAGGTGACCAGACGCAATAATTTGCCGAAGATTATATGAGTTATTTTAAGAAGTAGCAAGTTAATATGTAGAATTAGGAATGAGCATAAAATAATTAAAATTTAAATATGAATAAATTCGTCAAATATGAATTGTTCGGAATAGCATTCAAGAATTAAGAAAGAAGTTGGCGTGTCTTGGTATGTAAATACGAAAACTATCTTGAGAGGTCAAGAGGAGTTTCTATCACATATCCAAGTAATAATTCGAATTTAGATGAGTTTTTATAAATGCAAAGATACAATTTTTCTCTTACGCTTACTAATATGAATAATTCTTGAATGCTATTCCAAAAGATGCTGTATATCTTAATATTCCTCTCCTAAATTATATGAAATTAGAGAAAATTTGTAGGGAAAGTCATGCAAATGGAGATTGGGCTTTGTAAGGAAATTGCCAAGCTCCATTTGGTACTCAACATATTAACCTAGATGATGAGGAGAGAGACAATTATGTGGAGACTCCGGTGGATGCATCAGTAGATGTTGAATATCCTGAATAAAATGTTAGAGAATATCATGTGAGAACAACAAAGCAAGGAATGTCGTCATCTTCTAAGGTATCCATCCAAAGGAAAAAGAGTTAAAAGCCCGTTGATGACCATATTCTATATGATTATATTACAATGATAACTAACAGTAGCTCAAGTTGCTAATACAATTCAAACAACAATAAGAACTTTTGAGGAAAGAAAAATATTTAGTGAGCTCATGACAAAGTTATCTAGCATTTCAAAGTTTTCAGAGGAAGAGATTGATACTATATATGATAAGTTATCCAAGAACACAAGAAAGATTCGTTCATTTCTCTCCAAATCTAAGGTCAAAGGCTTGATGGATGTGAAAAGAGTTAAACAAATGATTCATTTGCATTAGAAGAGCGTAATTGGTATGCCGTGGCTTCAACACTTTGTACTAGATTTTATTCTTTAACATCTATATCAGTTTGATTATTGTTTTATATTGCCAGGAGAATTGAAGAAGACATTTTGAATGCCAATAATATTATTATAATTTTTTGTAAAGTCTCTTGAGTGTTATAACCTTAGTTTGATATTTCTAGCATTTTGGAGTTTGTTGTTGTCGCTTTTAACTATATTGAGCTTCATTAAACAAAAAAGAACTATTTTGCTATAAATTACATCTATTTATTTTTACTATTGACTTGTTGCTAGTTTGCTCAAAATTGTAATCATGATAGCTCGTTGACCAAAGCAATTTATTAATTTATGTAAACATTTTTAAATTCTCCTAAAATTATAATTATTAATGTGGACTCAAAATATAAATTATAATATTTTTATTTTACAATGTAGACACTGAATCAAACAACCTCTACTTTACTCTGCATACACCCAACCAAACAGTCTCAAAATATTTATTTTACATTGTATTTACTTTACATTGCATTCACTTTACAAACAACTAAACAATCACAATAGATTTTCATTTGAGTAGATCTAAAATTGAATACATTAAGTGTAATTTTAATAATAATAGATATAGTGGGCGGCTTGTGACTTTGGGCAATCATGTTAAAAATAAAATTACATGTTTTAGATATATCGAGTCTATTGTCCAGAGTGATAGTGTAAGAGATGGGAATATTATTAGTATAATTCAAAATTGATGGCTAAAGTGGAGGAATGCATCGAGCTTGTTAAGGAAAAATTCTATAAAATGGTGGTGAGACATGCAATATTTTATGGTACATAATGTTGGCCATTAAAATAGAAGCGTAAAATTAAGTTAGGTGCTGCAGAGATAAGGATGCTCGGGTAAATGAGCGGTTTTACTCTTGGATACAAAATGCAATACGAGCGTATACATTTCAATACTTTAAAATCATTTTACCATCATTTCCTTATTAATACTATTGAATATATCATTTTTTTTCAATATATTTGACAAAACAATCATTCATCTAAAAATCTCAATTATGCAAACAATTCTTAACAATTCATCTAAAAATCTCCTAGACAACCCTCTAGACTTCTCTAATCCCACCTCCCCGTCTCCCTATGGAGAGATTATTCTGTGTGGTGACCGAACGCGTCCGGAGGTCAATCTAGATGCGCTACGTTACTCAATGCACTGTACATTTGATGACATAATACGTTTGAATTGACCTCCGAACGCGTCCATATACCGCACGTAATCATTTTACCTCCTTATGATGGCAACCCCTCTCTAGTGTGGGTGCAAGATGTGAGTGTAACGTATGAGTTCCATGGCGACTAGCTTAATATTTATATACAAAATAAAAATTTCACCATGCTTATTTGCACTCTCAATTGCCCTCACTATGAATACAATCCTACTTATATTTACATAAAAAAAAAAATTAAAAAAAAAAAATCTTAAAAGAAAGTCCTGGGAGGTAAGTACACCCACCGCCCATGCTTGTAATCCAGACCTTACGCGGCCGTCCAAAGACACGTGGCGTGCTTCAGCAAGCCTCCCATGGTCCACTACTAGCCTACTAGGCTAGTCAAACGCAAAGCCTTTCTATAAAGTAAATTTAGAAATAAAGTAAATAACTTTATTTAAATAATTTTATTTCAAGGAAAAAAAGTTGGAAATTAATGGAAAGAAAAGTATTTTGATTTATTGATATTAAGAAGCAAGAAAATTTATGAAAAATTGAAAAAATAATTTAATATGAATACGTGTGATTTTTCTTTTTTTTTTTTGTTTCTATGATATAAATGATGAATAATTTTTTTATTGATGAAATATCAAATCCTTTTGAGAAATAGTATAGGTGAATTATTAAAATTAAACAGATGGTGATTTAGAATTCCACATAATTTTTTATAAACATAGAGCAATTTCATCACTTAAACAAAACTAATGTTTATAAAATCTATGAAAAATAAATTCAATTCATCAAATCTTGTGGGATATTTGTCATAATTTTTGAAAAAAATTATGTCAATATAACCTCGAAAAAACTTGGTCAATTTTTGAAGCCACTAGATTTATTTTGAGTTAAGTGTAACTCTATCCCGAAGATATGATTAATAGAATTTATGCGCGAATTTACAAACTCTACCGCCGCGAATTTTCTAACACGCAACAATCCCGAAGATATGATTAATAGAATTTATGTTGAATAATTGAAGTGGAGTAATGCTTCAGATTTATTGTGTGATAAAAAAATACCACTCAATCTTAAAGAAAAATTTTATAAGAGGCTGGTGAGACCCAAAATGTTTTATGGCGCAAAATGTTGGCCATTAAAAGATAAGCATAATATGAAGTTAAATATTGCTCAGATGATGCTTAAGTAGATGAGTGGTCTTACTCTTAGAGACAAGATACAAGCATATCCAAGAAAAGGTTTGAGCAGTTTCAATGACAAATAAGATTAGAGAAAATCAACTTAGACAATTTGATCATGTAAAATGTTTTGAACTTCCAATGACCTTATTAGGAGAGTAGATGTATGAGATTTGACCTATGTTAAAAAAGATAGAGGTAATCAAAAAAGACTTGGTTGAAAAATATTAGAAATGACTTTTATTTATAAAATTTAAATGAGAATTTGATTCTTAACAAGACAATGAAAAAAAAAAAATTTTCATATAACCAACCCTTCATAGTAAGATAAAGCTTGATATTGTTATTGTTATATATATCATACATTTCTCAAAATAAATTCAATTCATCAAACTTCTCTTAGGATATCCTGAGTTAATTTAATTCCCTTTTTTTTTTAATCCCTTCAGATTGAGTTTGCCATGTAAAAAAAAGTTGGGCTTGAATTTGTAAAAATAATAACATCAACACAAAAGGGGGCCGATGCAGAACTTTGGTCTTGTGTAGGGCAAATTATTGTGTCCGGTGTCCGGATTCGTCCAGACACCAATAAAAACGCACCACGTCACTCAAAAATACCGGAGCCCAGTGCATCCAGGTGAGGTGGCGTGTCCGGATTGGATGTCCGCATGTTAGGTGACCGGACGCAATAATTTGCCCTTGTGTAGGAACAATTATTAGGTCCGGTGACCGGACGTAACTCTACGTATGGTCACCACTGAGATCGCGCCACGTGCTCTTACTCTTTACCGCGCGGCCTAATGACTTGACCCGGAACGGAACCCGGGAATGCTATGTTCGTGTATTGCTAGGTATTACTCGGTATTTGCTCGGTATTGCTAGATATTGCTTGGCAATAACGAGAAATACCGCTCTGTGAAGACCAATACCGAGCAATATATAGTAATACCAAGTTTTTCTCGGTAACCAAGTAATACCGAGTTTCTCTCGGTATTTGTCTTCATATAATAGTATTTCTCGTTATTGCCGAACAAAATTGACAAATACCTAACAATACAAAGCAATACCTAGCAATACCGGGTTGTCATGGATTTAAAAAAAGCACGTGCGACATACCCACTATTTGCCGGGTCGAGTCCGCGGTTTTGTGCCTGCTACGTGACTCATTCTCAGTGCTTGCCGAACGTAGCTCTGCGTCCGGTCACCGGACCAAATAAAAGTTCCTTGTGTAGAGAGTTGCATGCATCCCTACCAAAAAATAAAAAACAAAAAACGCAGTTATAACATTTTCTTGAGCTGTGGCTATTTTTTACACAGTTAAAAAAATTTTGTTCGACAGCTTTTTAATGAAAAATTTGTTTAAAAAAATATTTTAAAAAGTAAAAAATAAGCTGTCCTAAGTGAAGCCTTAGTTGACCATTTGTGTTAAAAAATCTTAAAGACGAATTTTGTCTTTGTACAACATAATGAGCCATTATTTTGAAGGGAGCTCGGCTTAAATGTATGAGGAATCTCTTTATGTTTATTAATCACATCTTTCTACAATCAGTTTTATGGTTGGAACATATTGGGTTCATCCAGGAAAAGAAAAATCAATTAAGCCAAGATAAATTAACAAACATTCAATTTCGCTTTCTTAAGGAGTGCATTAAATGTGTAAATGAATTCATATGAAATTAGAAGCAATACGATTTCTCTCTTTATAATGGATACTATAACTGTAGTAGAGTTTTGTAATCCCTTAGGCTTCATTTGGGGCGGTTTTCTTACTGCTTTATAAAGTCATTTCTTTATGTAAAAATCTCTTGAAAATAGAAAAAAAAAAATTATCAAAGCTATCCCAAACAAAATCTTAGACTTCCGCTAGTGACCTCTAGTTAATCAGGTCCCTCTTTATTTTGATCCAAACAACATGATTTCATATGAAGTTCAGCTGGCTTAGGCTTTGTTGGGTTATTTGGTATTTTTGTAAAAGACAATTCTAAAAAATATTGGTTCAGAAAATTAAATTTTCTAACGGAGAAGCATATATAAAAAGCTTTCTCAAAACAACAGAAAAATGAAAAAAAAAGAGTTATTGAGAACGTGATTTGACGAACCAAACAGTAAAGAAGAAATAAATTTGTGGTTTTAAAACGGAATAAGCACCCTAAACTTCCAATCAAATGAATCCTTAAAATAAAACTGGTTTAAGCTTCGATTGGTAGGCCCAAATAAATCTGAGAAGATTTCAAGCTTAACAATAAATGGAAATTCAAAAATTGAACTCTTTACCAGGAGAGATCATTGTTCAGATATGCTCCCATGGGCTTTAAGGAGGAGGGCACTGAGATGAACTCGCGATGGGGAGGCCAACGGCAAGATTTCTTATCCATTCTGAATTTATGAAACCATACAGATGCCATTCTGAGAAGAATAGAAAAAAAAAAATCATGAGAATCAAACAAAATAAGGCAAGCGACTTCTAATAAGTGGAGCTGTAAGTGTAAAGATGCCAACATTTCTCACAACAAATTTGTACAGGTGATCCTCATGTGGCTTTATCCATTCACATACGTAGGTAGGAAACTCTCCATTTCTTCCATCAGAGGAAACTACATCTGCAAGTGTTAAACAGTCCACATTTATTCAGGTTGATAAATAGAATCATGCTTTTGATCATTATGGTACTGATTAATAATATGCTTCAGCAAAGGGAAATTTAAACCTGAAATTCCCACGAACGCCTTCTTAGTTACGAGCGACTGCAAAACAGATTCAGACTCTTCATTCATTTGTGTTTGGTTAGTCAGAGACATACAATGAGAATGGCATATATGCAGATGTGAAGATGGAGAGATTATTATGTGCGGATGCCGAATGCAGTATGTCGTTTGGAGACCAATCAGAATGAGCCATGTCAGCGGTACTGAGCTCGGTACCGAGCCGGGTACTGAGTAAGGGGCGACGTGGTGCATTCTGGTTGGTCTCCGGAGAGTGTTCGACATCCGCACAGAATAATTTCACGTGAAGATGGGCGTTTATTTTGAGAAATAATTATATTTAAAAAGATTAGGAGTACACCCACTGAAGGTAAGGTAGTCGAAAACAAAATTGGGTGGTCTAGGCTTAATATATAACGAAGTTTAGAATATATATCAATGGAATGGATAGATAAGATTTATGCAAAAAAATGAGGAAATAAAAGAGGCAAGAAGAGACAAAATGGCTAGAACCAACCCAAAACTTTGAGATAGGGCAACTGATAAAACGATGGGGGTTATTTTCTTTGCTATAATTTTTAGTATTAAATACCGAATGATTTGAGCAAACCCTAAAGTTTGCTTAATATTAGTGCAAAAACATATCATTCATGGTTGACAAACATCAATGTAGTCATAAAGTGAACCTCAACAGATTAACTAAACATCAACCAGGCAATACTCATCGCATAATTTTCAATTAACGGTCACATTGTAGAATGCTCAATAGTTCAAATGATAACCTTATTCCTTCATCACAGAAATGTCAGTGAGCATATTTGAAATCATGCACATCAAATTATATCATATTCAGAAAAGGAAACTTAACCTGCCATAGTGGAGACATGTACTCACGATATGAAAAATTCTTTCCAACATCCTTGTTCTTATTTTTCAAGCCCTCTGAATGTCCCCTGTGAAAAACCTTACAGTCAGAAATCCAGAACATGAAATTGTTGACAATATTCTACTTAAACATTTGCAAATAAATATTCCAATTTTTACATGGCAAGAAACAATTGAATGACAGCAATGGCATTAAACATTTGCAATGTCATTTGGCGGCCAAACTTGGTTAGAGGGCACATGCCACATTCTTATTGGCTAAAGATTATTTCATAATAAATTTTAATAATATTCTCGACTATATATTTACTCTTTGTATATTGAAGCTATTCTCAAATTTATAATCCTCGACAAACTGTTGTAGGGGTGGATAAATTTAGTTTTAAGTTTCAGGTGATTGATTTTACATTGGGCATTTAATTTTGGTTAAATATTGAATATTTAACTTTAAAATTTAGGCCCTGAATGGGCTACTTTGAAGTTTGAGGATATTTTTGAAAATTAAGCAATCCCCCCATTGAGATTTTCCATCAACACATCCATCATCAAAATGACGTTGAGATCACTTTAAATATTTATATTTTATTGGGGCTTGAAGGCTTTAAAAAAAAATAGTCCGCACTAGTTGAGATTCATTTTTAATATAGCCCTCATTTATGTTTTTCGTTTTAGATAACTTAATTTCCTTGTATGAACCTTGCCAACTATATTTGCCCGCAAACAAAGTATCTGGTTCAACTGCTACCCCGGTAAATTGTCGTGCAAATATTAAAATCTAGTGCTTGTACTTTTCTTATATTAAATGCCTTTTAAAGAGACTTAAAAGGCCCAATGTGAACATAAAATCAAATGTTTCGTTACATTTTAGGATCGTATATTTTTTTATGAATTCACATCTTGTCGACTCTAATCATTTCAAGGAGGATTGAACTTGAAATTTGAATTTATATTTAGCCAGCATAATATTCTCGGATCTTGAATTTAGGAGCTTAGTGCATTGATCGGAGTACATAAGTGTGGATTTTAATAGTTTGATGTGCTGCACAAGAATTTTTTACCTTTATGCGATGCACTTGCATGCATTTTGGTGTATTTACATAGCATATTTGCACGCTTGTTAATATATTTACACGCTTCTTGAGATGAAAACATTTTTCGTAAAACTGTTGCATGCTTGTTAAGATAATGGCATGCTTCTCGAGATGATAGCAAGCATTAATGGAAGACTTGGAAGTGTAATGGACACAGTCAAGTTGTCACACTTACAAATTCATGAAATCAACTATTCTTGAAAAAAGTTGGTTCTGAAAAATGTTGTGACGCCACGAACTTAGTTATGACAACCATACTCAACTTGCAACAAATAAATCATTCCTTTGCCAATTTCACAAAGAAAATTTTCCTCTTCTAGTCTTGAACCTTATTCTCTAGTAAGCCTTGCATTTAATACACTTAGATGAAAAAAGAATGATACTCTCCTTGAAAACTTTAACAGCAAAAATAAATCAAAATAAATCTAAACTCCATTCGGCGCTTTTTTCTCTCAGATAAGTAATAAGGGTGATCATACATGCAAATGAACTCAGTATAGCCTATACCTGCACCAAGTTAAAACACTCCAAGATTCTCTAGGAAGAAACAAAGTCATAGTCCGAGTCAAAATTGATCATATTAGAATTTTAGCCACCGTCCTTTAGCAAGTTAGAAAACTTGTCAAGCTCAAAAACCCAAACCAATAAGGCAACACTACGCAATGACTTGAAGTTGTACACGATCACAAGCGATGTGATATTCCAATCCACCTTGGCAAACTTTTTTTAGCAACTCAAGAGAGCCCTTGTAATTATGAAGTAGTCAGTCGAGAGCAAAGAAAACTTACCAAAGAGGAATTGAATAGAGTGACAAGAAGTAAATGAAGGATTTAGGACATCCATAAAAATAAATTGTGAAAATTGAAATGCTACAACATCAAATTTAAGCCTATATCTATTCATGCTTATCATGTGTTAGATGAGATGTTAACTTTGTTAGCACAAAAGCTTCGTACTTCCGGTCATGTTAACTTATACAAACCCAAACCATCAAATACAACTTCCATAGGCCATATTGTCAGTAGGTGAGACTCCCACATTTCTCTAGATAATCATTTATTAATTTATCTTACTAATTTTATCACAAATTTCTCATAAATTTTCATTATGCCACTCCTAACTTGGCTAAGAATGACTTCTTCACCACCAACACTCCAATCTAAATGTAGTAGCAATTTAATTGTGAATCTGATGGGGGCATCGAAGCTTGAAAAGTCTTATAGAGGCGTGGCCGCCGATCTACAGCCACGATCGCGCCGATGTATTTTTAAGTTGTCATATGTATTTGTCTTTTATTTATTTATGTTTGTATTTGATTTAGTTTTTTCCCCTTTTACCCCTTATTTAAGGGTGGTCATGTGTAAGCCCAACGGGCATCGTCGTCTTTTATTTTGAGTCCTTCGTGTGAGGCTATATATAGCCCTTATGTTCTCTTTTCATTGTAAATGAATGATAAAAATTTTCCCGTGTTTTGAGTTTTTGTAAGAGCTTGAGAGAGATCCCTTGGAGAGGATATTGGATAAGCCACCAATCTTGGAAGAGTTCGAATTCGTGGTTAGTTTTTGTAGTTCTTTTCTGCTTCTTCCTCCTTTCTCTTCTATCTAACGACCATCTACACCAAGTCTCTACCGTCGACCAGCCCTTATGTTCTCTTTTCATGGTTAATGAATGATAAAATTTTTTCCGTGTTTTGAGTTCTTGTGAGAGCTTGAGAGAGATCCCTTGGAGAGGGAATTAGATTACCCACCAATCTTGGAAGAGTTCAGATTCGTGGTTAGTTTTTGTAGTTCTTTTCTGCTTCTTCCTCCTTTCTCTTCTATCTAATGACCATCTACACCAAGTCTCTACCGTCGGCCAGCCACAAGCAGCACCCCCCCCACCTGACCGTGGGCTAGTATCCCTAGCTCCCCACCTCACCGACCCCATCCCCTCCCACCAAAACCCGGCGGCAAGCCCATCCCAAGCCGCCAGCCCCCCCGGGTTTCCCCTCTTGACTTGTGTTCAAACCCTTCCAATTGGATCTTTCTAGGATAGGCTACTTATTTAATTGTTTCCTGAATTAAAAAACCTATGTTTGGAAAATTTCCTAAATTAAATCCTATTTGAATTTAAAATTCAATTGGATTAAATATACCCTTCCAATATATTATTAAATCCAAATCACCAGCAACAATAGAATGCTCTCCCTCAAATCCCATCTCCTCTCGGTATGGAACGCCGAGCACTACCCGCCCACCCCTATACCCCCCACCCCCAATTAACCCCTATTGATTTCTTTCCTAATTGCCAACACCTTCTTTGGGAAGATTTCAAATCCTCTTTCCCTCTCTTCGAGCCGCCCCATCCTTTCCTAAATACACCCAAATCCTTTCCAAACAAAAGGGGTTAAATGGAGAAACAATTGCTTGATTTCCCTCCACCTCTTTTCTCCCAAATTCTGAACTTAAATTCTTCCCCTATCCTCCCTCATTGGGCCAGCCACCCCTTCTTCTCAACTTCAACTCTTGAGAGAAACTTTTTTCTCTCTAGTGGAGTCTTCAAGGGAAGCAACAACGATCGTTGTCCACACCTCAACCTTCGAAATCAATGAATGGTTGATCCTGAACTTGATTCCGAATTCCCTTACGACGAGCAAGGGAACGTCAAGATTCTCCACTCCACCTTCTTTGACTTCAACCTGGAAACCGACAACTCCATTGAAAAAATGCGTGGACCACATCATCTTCACACTTTCCGAAGCGGTCGAAAAACAACTTGCCAACATTCAGTGGCAAATTGTTTTCGGATCTCGACAAGGGTGAACTTCTTCCCTATTCATTTATCTTCATAATCTGCTAACCTTGTAGGTGGTGATTTAATTGCAAGGTTTCGTGCTTCGCTCTCTGCCTCCGTTTAGTAAACGTAGGATTTGAGTTTACTTTCGATGTTGCTTATCTCAATATTAGATTAGGAATTTTATTGAACAGCTACTTGATTTGCATCTTGTTGGATTTCTAAATTAATTTAGTGGTTCATGTTCCTAGCTTGTAATTTGGCCTAAGCGTAGTTACCCCTCATTCGTTTTCTATCGTCGTTTAGTGGCTAAATAGTTTTAATTATTATTTGCTCTTATCTAAGAAGTGCAATTTCTTATCGCATTAATCTAAAGCATACACAGTCCTGCATCAGAATCTCTATGATATTTTTCTCATATCATTGTACCCTTGAGGAATTTCTCCAGTTAAACCACCTCATCTCAACAAGGGCCCTTTGGTTGGATCTCAGTTTAGCTTGAGCTAGTTTGAACGACTTAAGCTAGTTAAGAAAATAAGAGTCTAACAACTTTACTAAGCTTGAAAAGCTTACTTCTAGCTTTTTCATGCTTAAGGGAAAAATAAACAAAGTTAAAGTGCCTCAAAAAGTCGCTCAAGCTAAAGCTAAATAAGCTCCTATAACAATCATTTTCTATTTAGGAACCCTTTTTCATTGTGATCTCCATTTTCACTGGTCATATATATCATTTTCCTCGTAATTCCATCACCGATGTCATCCTTCATCATTGGGTGTGTCATCATCTATTTCTCACAAGAGTATCGCCTCCATTTTTAACCATCATACACTTCATTGTTGGTTCATTAAAGCTGTCATCATTCCATTTCCCTCATAGTCACTTCGCCCCTATCAATCTTGTAGTCATCGTCTTCCTTGTTGCTATAAGCACCATAGATTGTGGGTGCAATCAATGTCCCATGCAAAATCCTCAATAAAACATCAGCTCTTTATTATAATAATGATGGACAAAAGTAGTAGTTGATGTAAGTTGACTTTTATTCAATTAATGTAATAATTAACTAAGTACTAAATAAAGCTAGTTAACACTAATTCCTCTTAACTTACTAACTTGGTGCGCAAAACAGAAATGTAGCCAAATTTAGATTAGATAGCCTAATTAGCTAAAGTGAGATAAATATTTCATATATTATCGAAATGGATTTTTAGCTTGTGACAAAAACAATTTTAAAGGTAGATAAATTAATACTAAATGAATTCAAAGGAAAAGAGGCAGATCAAAGGTTATAGGGATGGAATTTGTGTGAAAAAGGAAATTTAAAAACAAAATAAATTTAACACCTCATGTGCCCCACAAAAGAATTGTGAAGAACGAGGATCCACAAAGCTAATCCAAATTAGTTATAAGCTCATAAGTTTCTCACCTAGCTTACCCTAGCTTAGCTTATTTAAATTGGTAACCAATTAGGCACATGCCTAGAGGCTATATCATTTTTTTCTTTCTAAAATATCCAAATCACATATACTCATCACATCTAAATATCACTTTATCTTCTATAATATAAAATAGTAATTATTAATTTTACACACACTAAAATTAGATATCATATACTAGTTCATTGCTCTATTAGTTAAAAGTCATTTATATCCTCCAAATGTCTTTTGCATTGATCAAACGTTTCATTTATAAACAAAGGTCTCACCAATTTAAACAACCATAGGAAAATAGTATACAAAAATGTACCCTGTTTCTAATACCATTTGCAAACAAAAAACAATGCTTCAACATATATGCCTTTACAAACTTCAAGATACCTACCATACATTTTTTCCCTACTGCGAGTGAAATCAATTTTCATGACACTAAACTATATTCTTAGTCTAAGATATAATACTTTCATCTAATTTCAATATATAACTAATAAGTTTGATCCATATAATTACAACCTTGAACATCTAATTTGTTCTAATATATTCATAGAAAAATGCTTACTCTTCAGCTATTCAACATCTCAAATTTACGATTCCATTACAAGAAATTATTAACAAAAATACTCCAAAATCTTTCACAACTCTCCAATGTCATATAAACCTAAAACTGTTGTTGTATGCTTTTATAAAAAAGCTAACTCGCCTTTACTTTCATGGATCAATCTGTTTTCCCCCTAAAAAATCCCATTTAATAATTTATGAAAAAAACAATTCAAATGGCTTACCTAGGACTATTAAATTTAGCTTGAAGATCAAAAATCACTCAAAATTTAAACAATTTTTTCCTGAAAGTCATATCAAGCTTGGATAAAACTTGAAATTAGTGAAACCTAAATCAAAACGGGCTAGCTCCAGATTGAATCAAAATGCATCTGCATGTAGGTATGAATGCATATGGACAAATAGTTACATATGTACTTGCTAAATTCAATTGTTTTTTCGAAGCCGGCAACTAGAGAGAGAATGGAGTATATTAATGATTTTCAAAACTCTAGTCAGTTATACCAACAAGTAACATGGAGCTGTATACAAACAACCATGTAATGCAAAATGCTTCTAAAGTAGACTCATCAACCATGAGAGAACATATTTGGGAATCTGTAAATCATCAACATAATCATCTTTCACCCAGCACTCATTCACCAATCAGTTTGTACTCAAACCATGAATTAAAAGATACTTATAAAGACTGCAGAGTAATCTTAATTTACAGTTTGCAGTGCGACAAATTGATGTAGAATGCATCCAAGAACTCCATGTTTACATAAATATACCAGGTGGTTCTTGTACCATCACTTCTTTTCTTCGTAAAGAAGTTCACTAAGAATTCAGTAGCAAGCCCAAGAGCTAAAGCTTACAGGAATGAAAATTATAATTGTTAGAGAGAAACTGCATTTCACAGAAAAACTTCTTAACTTATGGAGAGGAAAGCCTGGAACAACTACACTTGCTTGAACACTAGGTGCGGATCTCTAAAAGAAGCAGCAGCTACATTTTATTGCAATATACAGCAGCTACACTTGCTAGCCTAATAGGTGAGAATCTCAAACGAATATGAAAAGTAATATTAATGTTTTATATCCAAGGTTTCAATTGATTTATAAATTTGATAACTTACATTTTAATCTTAACTTACACAAAACAGACGTGCTATAAAAATAGTTTAGAAATTTCACAAAGGTGATAATATAGAGAATTCATATTCAACACAAACCTATGTGCATGAATTGTTGTGGTTGCACTGCCAAAAATTGTAGCTTTTGATGCTAAAACTATCAAAGGTTGCACATCTTGGATATTTTTTATTTCTTGAACAACATTTTCAGTTAATTTTTCAAGAGATAATTTTTCCCTGCAAATAGAATGAGAACAATTACTCAAACCATAAAAAAAAGAATAGAAGTCCACATAGTACATAAGTGAATCAACTTATTGAGGGTAAAGTAACAATGACCATCAGAAAAAATACTTGATGAATTCAACCTATAAAGCTATATTAACTAATGAAGCATCTAATCCATATTAATTTCTAGAGAAAATGATCAAAAATGGCCCATTAACTTTTATGAAGGATCAAAATAATCATCAACTATATTAAAGAACTATTTTGGTAACTCAATTCCTTAAAGAGGAATCAAAATAATCCCATCATGGGACTATTTTGGTCCCTCTTTAAGGAGTTGAGAGACCAAAATACCCATTCAATATAGTTGGAGACTATTTTGATCATTCTTAAAGAGTTAAGGGACTATTTTGATACTTTTCTCTTAATATCTACCATCATCCGCTCCATTTTGAATATCACACTGCCAACTTCGGAATAGGTATAAGGGAGCATTCAGGTTTTACTAAGGTTTTACTTTCATATATAAATCAAAGGTCATCCTATCATCTTCTTTTCTCCTTACTTGAAGCATTCATGTTTTTTAGTTTATTTTTGTTTTGATGTATTTTGAACAATATTAGTAGTGTTTTGTGTTTTTTAAAGCTATCCAATGATGGAGAGCATCCAATGATCATGTTTTTTAGTTTATGCTTGGGCATGGCAAGCCTTGGGTTTGCTTGCATTTGGGTCCTTCTTATCATTGGGCTGCTTGTTGTTCTCGATTTGGAGTTGTTTGTTGCTCTCAGGTTGGGCCTTGGCTGCTTAGTGTTGAGCTTAAAATTTGGGTTCTACTTGGTGTTAGCTCATTAATGCTTGAGCTGAAGTTTAGCTCATTATTTGGAGGAGTAAATACACTTCCTAGCTCATAAAATCAAAAAGGTATTCTTCTATATTTAGCTCATTATTGTGGAGTGGACTTGTGTCTCTTTCCCTTCTCTTTACCCCTTCAGTTTCCTCTCCTCTGATGTTGTTTCCGAAATGAATTCATTCCCCTTGTTGTGCTGTTTGCTCTCTGTTACTTGGCTGCCCGTTGGGATTTCCTGTTTGCCGGTTCTGTTTCATGCTGCCCGTTGGGTCTTCTCTGTTTGCCGGTTCTATTTCCTGCTGCCCGTTGGGTCTTCTCTGTTTGACGGTTTCGTTCCTGGCTGCTGTCCCGTGAATATTAATCAATTCCTGGAAGGTTTATAGCTGACCCTTGGCCTTTCATTTCCCCAAACCTGATTGATTTTGGTTGGAGGTGTTGTGGTTGTTTAACTTCTTTCTTTTGCCTATAAATTAGAGATATTTTGAGAAGGAAAAGGTTGTTGATTATCTTGAGATAAGTTGCTTAAAAACCTGAGGGTTTCTTCTCTTGGAAAAGCTTGAGAGCTTGTTCCACCCCCTTTTCTCCTCTCTATTTCGCCTTGGCTTCTAATCTCTTCTTCTCTACGCAAGTTCCACTCCACTTGTATCCTCCTTCTTGAGCTCTTGGAATTTGTTTGTTGGCTGAAATTTGGAGACATTTGCCATAGGTGTTTGGTAGGACGTTGGACTCATTTGCAGTGGTGGACCCTTGGTTTGCAAGCCTAAGCACAATTTTCATATATTTTCCTACTCTCGTTGCATGTGAGGAAACCGCTAGACGGTTGTTCTAAGGATAGCATTTTTATGTTATTATTTTGTTTCATTTGATTTTACTTTTGCTTATCCGAATGTTTTTTTTATTGTTTGCAAGTTATAGTGAATCGAGTTTTCTTCTATTTTATCCTTGTGTTCTCCAATTTGACTTTTCTTTCCAGTTTGCTTACATCATTACTATTCATATATATACATATCAAAGTAATGTATGCACCCCAAGCATATTTTCCACAAACGGTTTAATGATGTTTAAGAACTGAAAAAAGCTCAAACATATCCTAGAACCACTCTGAATTCAATTACCATATAAGCCATATACATACCATGTATTGCCCTCTTTTGTCAGTGGTTGGCAAGCTCGATGATTCCAATGAAAAGCACCAATGCTGAAAGACAAGAACCCAAAGCATTAATGCCCAGAAAACTTGATTGGAATCAAGATGTAAAGTTCACTAGCAGATATATTTGGAAGGAAAGAATGCTTTTTACAGGGAAGATGAACTGCTAACGGACTCTTCCAAGTATACCAGAATTTTCATTAGTAGGTTAGGAGCTAAATGACTCCGTTATAAGGTAATTGATTTTGATTCCGCAGCAAAGATTATTTTTATGCTACGGCAAAAGAGGCAGCAAAAGCTATGTAAATGTTGCATTTCTAATAGCAAAACTCAAGATACTTCAAAAGAACAGTTTTAGACAAAACGTCATTGACAGATGATACAGAGAAGATACAATATCTTGAACTGAAAGTCACAAAGTTGAACTCTCAATAACAGAGACCTAATTTAATTTATTTTAGATGCATTAACCAACCGCAGCACCCAGCACCAAATTTTGCCATTATTTATATTCTTATGATCCCTGGTTTGAATTATTAAACTTTGCACCAAAAATCAACAAATCCCATTTACATGAACCACAGAAAATGTAATTCATTAATTTACAAACGTGTTTTAGACAACTAAATTTTACATATATAGTTTGCTTGAGAGAATAAACATAAGCCTTTCAATGCTCAACTGTCATGCATCGAAGTCCATATGTTGTTAAGTTTGATTGTACCAGAAGGCCTGCGACAGTAATAACTCTAATAATAAAAGCTTCTGAGCAAATCTTATCAAATCATCAGAAACAGAACTTCGTACTGTTTAATGTAGCACAGACTTTATATAGTGGCGTGCTAATTTTGTTAATATACACAAATATTGAAGTAAACTTTCTCATGGTTAATTATGTCATTGTTTGCCATGTGATCTACCTAATATGCCCTGTGCCACAAAGACCCTGAACAGCATGGAGCACACATCTTAAAACAAGCAATCTTGCAAACTGTTGGCATGGCACTCATCTTTATAATGCAATGAAGTGCTATTAATAAGAACTTCTGAAGGCTTAATCATCCATATTATTTCAGTGTGCAAGCCAAAACTGATGTGCTGAGACAGCTTTGCATTTACCCAAAGCATCAGTGCACTTTAGGGCAACCAGGTGCATCCGTTTAAAGCATGGAACCTTCCATCCTACCCCCTTGCGGGTCTACAGGAGGAGGAGGGGGGAGGCAGCCGGTCCGGGTGAACCAAGGGGGGGTTCGGCCGAACCCAGGGAGCAAGGGGGGAAAGTCACGGTGGGCCCCTTGGGCCCACCTATTTGAATTCTTTGATCATCAAGGGGGGCGGCCAGCTTTTGGGGGGAAATTGGAGGGTGGATGATGGGGGGCAATTTTTTTATGGATGAGGGGCAAGTGAGTAGATGGTTAATAGAGCCATTAGGGTTATTTTGGGGACATCATGTGAGAAAAGTTTCTTCCTTTCCTTCTTGTTCTCTAGGGTTTCTTTGGAGATTTGTCCTTCTCGAAGTGGACTAGCTTTGTCTTTTGTTTTGTCTTAAAGATATGAAGCCTCTTTTGTTCTTACCTCTCATGCTTTCATTTTTATTTGTTGTTTGATTTTGATTTCGGTGGAAGTTTCCAACCTTGAAGGAAATTAGGGCAAAAACCCTAAATTTGTGAAACCAAGGCGTATCAATTTGGGTATCGAGAGCTCTTGATCCTAGACGGCATGCCGTGAAAGAAGTGGAAGTTTTTAGGAGGGGAGATGGCCAATTGAAGGAAGAGGTGGGGGAGAAACTCCGTGATGACAGGCAAATTTCATCCCTTAGAGAGATTTGGGGAATGGAAGATAGATGATCCGAAAATTTGTTTAGAAGCTCAAGTTTGCTCCACCAAAACCTAAGGAAAGGGAAATCTCCGGTGACCAAATCAAAACCCTAACCCTAAATTGTCCAATTAGGGAAGAAGGAGAAAATCGAGTGAAGATGACATGCAATGGCCAATGGGCAAAGAGGAAGGAGAGAAGGTCTGAATAGTGGCCCTTGGGGAGAACAGGTGGTCAGGAGGCGGCCATACATGGGCTCGGTAGGGCCCCACGGAAAACACGTGAAGGATGGCCGAATCAAACGGGGGGGTTTCCGAAGGATCGTGCCACGTGGGAGCAGGGAGGAAGAAGGGAGGACTACGCATGGGCCATGGAGAGCAGAGAACCACTATGGAAGGGGAACTTCAAAATCCTTACCCGATGGAAGAAGGAAGGGGAAGACACAAGGTGAAGGGATTTACTCAGGGCATGGGGAGAATGGAAAAGAACCCTTCCACCAGAGCTGACAACCGCATGAGAAATTGAAGAATCCCTATATTTTTGAAGGGAGGATGCAGAGATCTACAGGGTGGAGGCGCTATTTGCGTGAACGGTGTCACAGAAGGAGGAGAACTGATGGCGTACCGGTATGCCTTGGAGGGGAAGCTCCTGGCCTGGTTATTCAGTGGCTTGAAGGGAGACAACCATATTAGGCATTGGGAGGAGTTCAAAGACCTACTACTTCATAGATCAGGGTGTCAAGTGGGGACCCACTATGGCAGTTGTTGGCTCTAGTACAGGAGGGCACGGTGGCAAAAGAGGGTATAAGAGGCATTTCTTTGGCTACTATCAGGCAGCCTCTGCAGTAGGATTCCCGGATGACCTTCTTAGAGGGAAGTTTCATAGAAGGAGGGTTGAAGCTCAAACATCAGAGCAGGCCAATCAAGTAGTGGCTCACAGGGGTTTGTAAGGAGCATGGAGAGACTGCACAGTGGGTGGGGACAAGCCGAGGTGGACGGCAACCGAGGAATCAGGGTGGTTACTTACCCCATTTCCGAACCACCACCCAGGGTGAGGTATAAAGGGCGTTACCAACCTCCTCCTAAGGGAGGTAACCACGGCAAGAAACCACTACAGCGGTGAAAGGCCAGGGGTTCAGAGTTGACTGACTCAGAGGCTGAGAAAGGGCCAAGGGCCTTTGCTACCGCTGTGATGAAAAGTTTACACCAGGGCATAGGTTGTAAGGAGAAGACACTACATTATTCCTAGTGGAGGATCAGAGGGGGAAGAAGAGATACAGGAGCAACTGGGAGGGTGGAAGTGAGAAGAGGCACCCTTACATGGCATGGTGGATGGTCTCCACTAACTCCAATATGCGTGGACTGAATCGCATTTCCACCATGAGCTAGAAGGGGAGATGCAGGCTAACAAGGTGGAATGGTTCTGATTGATAGTGGGGCCCCACAACTTATTGCTTGCAGATTAGTGGAAAGGTGGGGCTACCAGTGAACACAAGGGAGGTGTAGGTGTCATTTTGGGCAACGGGGAAGAAGGAGAACTGTAACGGAGCATGTTAAGGGAGTGACCCTAGACATTGCAAGGAGAAGAGATAGTTCAAGACTTCCTACTACTGGAGGTTGGAACAACTGATGTGATACTTGGGATGCAGTGGCTCCAGCCTTGGGGAGCATGAAGGTGAATTGGAAGAATTGTACATGGAGTAGGGAGGGGAGCAGGAGATGACGCTACAGGGGACCCAGTTGTGCAGATCCAGAGTGGCCTGAAGTCCATCTTCAGACTTTGAGGATGATGGAGAGGCTATTTTGATAGAGCTCAGCAGTGGCATAGAGGTAGAAAAGGAGC